ACCACAGGAAGCAGCTGAGAGGATCAGCAGGTGGAGCGAGCAGGTGAGGAGAGGGCGAGCGACACCACCTGACGCGTGAACGCTGCAGGGAGACGGCGAGCGAGTCGAGCTGCTGTCAGGAAGCTGCTGTGGATCCAGCAGGTGCTGACGGTCTGACATCTGAACGTCACAAAGTCGTCTCTAACCTGTCGTCTCCTTTTCTTTATGAAGTCTGACAGAAGGTTAGAAAACGAGCAGCTGCACCACCACGACTCAGAGGTGAACTACACTGACTCAACCTGACAAAGATCATTTACTGATCAACAGTTAGCGTCCAGTTTGTTTCTGCTCTTATCGTAGCTGCAGAACAACGATGATGCTGGACTCAGTTATGCTGGACTCAAAGCCTTTGATACACGGAGCATCGTTTCATCTTTCAATCTTTAAACTAATTTAGTTTCAGTAATTATTTCTCTACATCAGTCAAAACTCTACACAAACAGTAGCAGCTGTAATAAACTGATGGCTGCTACATCCACAGATTTAACCTGCACGGAGGAAGAAGACGAGGCGGCTCCGCCTCTCTGCACCTCTTCCTGTTAGTGTTTTATCAGACGAGTAAAATCAGGTGATGTAAAAGGATCTGCGTCACTGGCAGAGAGTTAATCGCAGCACAGCTGACGACACCGCTCTGATTTAGACAAATGAAGGTCAAGTCTGAGCTGCTGCAGTGAACAGTTTCTCCAAAGCTTCCAGATTTTACCTGAATATTAATAAACGTGAACTCATCACAGACGCTCCAAATCTGACCTTTGTAATATCTCCATGAAACAACAGCTTCCATATTTAAGGATGTGAATCACTGAGGATGAAAAGAATGAATCTAAGTCTGATCCCTCCTACAAAAAGAGTTAAAAACAAGTTCAGCTCTCTCACTGAGAGGAAGAGTTTTGACTAAAGCAGGAATCTCTGGTGTCCCTGAGGCAGCGCTGGCTCGACGCCTCCATAATAAACCATCAAAGACGCTGACAGGCTGCTCTTCAGCTTCATGTGGACGAACAGGAGACGTCACATTAGAAAAACAGCTCGTATGAACTCGATGTAAACGGTGGGCTGAAGGTTTCAGATTTCCACGCTTTAAACGGCACATTTAAGATAAACTGGCTCAAACAGCTGATCAGAAGCCCCGCCTCCACCCTGAGCGCTACACCTGTTCGTTTCCTCTCCGAGTCGCAGCACCGAGTTTTCCTCGTGTGTAACTTTGTGGATAAAATCCCCGCGAACACGTCGGCCTCTCATCGCCGGGCTTCCTCGTCACAGACTCTCGTCTACAAACACAGTTTGAGCCTCACACTTATTTTATGTGGAACAACAAGGATATTTGTCCAAGAGGAAATCTGTTTTTCTGGATATTGGTTTGATAATATGATGATGTTGGTAAATCAGCTGTTCCACACAGACGCTGAGCTGCTCTCTGTGAAGAACTCCAGTTAAACATCATCTGCGGCTCCAGGAGATGATGTCACAGCGTATTTAAATATCAGCAACAGTTCAGACTCAACATCTGTCCTGTTCTCTCTGTGACACACTCCCACTGGGAAAACAGGTTTTTTCTGGTGGCCCTGAAAATAAAAACAAATCTATTGGATCTTTATTCCAGAGAAACACGAGCACGTGACCAGATGCAGTTTGTGTTTGGAGCCGTTTGGTGGATGAAACCTGCAGCGACCTGATAAGCATCTGATTACCGACAAAATTCAAGAAGTTTCTTTAAACTCGTTCATAGACTTGATGTGAAAACGAGCTCGAAGCTGGACTGAAAGCAGACGCTGACGTGAGCTGGAGTTTCTGGAAGAGTCGCCCAGAAGCTGTCGCACGTTTTGCTTTTTGCACTTTTGTTCAGAACTTTTGGTCGAATCTGTGAAGCTTCTGTTGCAGAAAATCTTCTAAAGGTTTTGATTTATTTTGGAAAAATGTTTTATTTGCTCTGAAAACTGAGCGCGAACAAACTAACAGCACCAGCAGAGATATAATGGACCTCGTTGTTTTATGGGCAAAGTTTCACGTCCATCACAGCGAGGATACTGGGATCACAGCGAGTATACTGGGATCACAGCGAGGATACTGGGAGACGTCCCTCCTTTCTTGTGTTTGCTGTGAATTCAGGCCGAACGTTCGATCAGTTGAAGACTCGAAGGATCCTGAAGCTGTTCAAACTCTGCTGTTTGTGGCAGATAAACAGATTCAACAGAATCTGTTTGATTGTTTCTTTCTCGGCGTTTCTTCATTTAAATAAATGTTTTTAGACGTTTAATAACTGACATCAAACATGTTTGTTTCCCTGTTTTGTGTTTATTCATTTTCAGAAATAATTTTGTTTTGCACTAAAAACAAGAAGCTGCTGTGGATCAGCTGCTCGGGGTCTTCCTGTGTGACCGCCTGTTATCAGCTGCTTCGCTGTGAGAGGGGCGTGTCGGAGGAGCGACCAATCGGCAGCGGGCGCTCTGACGTCTGCTGACGACAGCTTAACGTCGGCGTCTGAAAGCGGACAGAGCGACGTTTGACACGTGGATCAAACCGCACGGTTTAAGACGAGCCGCTGATTTTAAGCTGAGCTCCACGTCCACGGCTGCTGCTCCACTGATGACCGTTCAAACCGCGCCTGCTGCTGATTGGCTGATGAGACGTGAGGTCACAGCCAGGAATATGTTCAGAGTCAGAAAGCAGACTTTGTTTCACTGACGCAGTCTTCGGCTCGTTGGTGACGTGAGTTTAGACTCGGGTTACGTCACAGCTGATGACGAGCGCGTCTGTGCTCGCTCTGCTCAGGTGAGCCACACAGGTGTCAGGCTCCTCCCCCTCTTATGTCCCCCTGTCTCTCTATCCCTGTCGCACATGTCTGCGATCACTTCCTGTTGGAAGTTTCTAGAAATAAACTAAGAGTGTAAGTGAAGCCTTTGACGCCATGTTTGTTCACATTCACGCTCTTTCCTCTTTAACAGGAAGCTCCACAGACTCGACTCCCGGCGGCGCTCCGTCCTCGTGGCCTCGAGCCGCTGTGGTTCTGCTCGTGTTATAATAACAGTAACGATAATAATAAAAGTTTAACAGAAACAAACAGCGCGGTTTTCATTCTGCGCTTATTCTACTTTTAAATTCGAGTGTTCTGATGAAGTTTTAATGTTTTTCATGTTTTTTTCTGTTGCTGTCGTCTTATTGTGGAGTTTTTAGAGGTTCACACACTCGGGTGGCTGTAGCTCAGGTGGCAGAGCAGGTCAGCCACTAATCAGAAGGTCGGTGGTTCGATCCCAGGCTGCATCCTGGCTGCATGCCAAATATCCTTGGGCAAGATACTAACCACATGTTTGCCTACTGGTGGTGGTCAGAGGGCCCGGTGGCGCCAGTGTCTGGCAGCCTCGCCTCTGTCAGTGCGCCCCAGGGTGGCTGTGGCTACAACGTAGCTTGCCATTGCCAGTGTGAGAATGTGTGTGTGAATGGGTGAATGACTGAATGTAGTGTGAAGCGCTTTGGGGTCCTTAGGGACTAGAAAAGCGCTATACAAATGCAGGCCATTCACATCTGTTTTTATTTACATCAGTTCTGTCAATAAAACACTTTGATTTGTTTGAAAAAGGCTGTTTAAAAAGAAACGATTGACTGATGTTTGCAGCGGATGGAAACAAACAGGAGCCTCTGAGGGAAGCGATGCAATGGTTTTTTTCGGAAACCTTTTTCCTTTTTTAAAAATCACGACGACAAAGCTGCTGTGGGAACGTTTCAGCGTGACCTTAATTTCATTGATTATAATTTCAGTTTGTTTCAAAGAGTTTCTAAGGACCTGTTGGAACTGTTTAAGTTAATTTGTCTGTTTATAAAAACTTGAACAAATGTGGCACTAAATAACATTCAACATATATTGAAACTGTGATTTATCTTCATTTAAAATGAAATGTGATTCTCCTGTCAGATCTCAGCTTCTATTGTCTGTCTGTTGGTTTGTCTCACCATGACTGTTTTATTGTTATTAGTCATTAGATATTTATCATTTATTATTTATTTAAGAAATCCAGCGGTGGACTGAAACAATAATTTGCGCCATGATTTTGACTCTGGGACACTTTGGTGTTTTTCAGCACTGTGACCAGATCAGATTTCTCTTTTAAAAACATTAAAACATTCACATTGATGATATTATTGGATGTGCAGCACAGAGATCTGTGAGCATCTTTGAAGAGGAACCGGAGTGCTGCTGATGCTGTGATGAGAGCAGACAGTCAACAGGTGAGGACAACACGAGGACATTCCTGCTGTTATAACATTGCTGCTCTCAAAGCCACGATAAACACTTCAGTGCATTATCACAGATATTTTCTTTATGTGAACATGTAGAGTTACAAGCTATCTAGGTGCATACAGATTCAGACAAAACCTTCAATCACAGCACATTTTGTCATGTCATAGGACTGAATGCTGCATCTTCAAAATGTCAGTTAAATATATATTAATGAGGATGCTGGTTTGCAAAATCATCTCAGAAAACAGTGAATTTCCTCATAAATAACTTAAATATAAGTGACAGTGATGCTGTTCTCCAGCATAATGAATTGGTAGCAGTACCCTCACATTAAAATGATGCATAAAGAGGCCTTGGATGGTGAATGGGTCATTAAGCTGTCTGTACTTACAGATTTATTAATGTATGTGTTTATTTGAATCTGGAAATATTATTTAAGATAAATGTTGTGAAAAATGTGATATCCCAGCCCATTTCCAGTGAAAATGCTTAGCTGGGTGATTAATTATTTTATTATAAGCTGCAGTAGATAGTGTCTGACATTTAAAAAAAATTAATTACAGCATGTGATTATTTGTAAGAGACGTCTACACTGAGAGGTCATGTCAGAATATGATCAGATTTTGACTGTGAACTGTGATGAGGTCAAAATAAAGTGTGACATGTTTAAAAAAAAAATATATAAAAAAGTGTGTAAAGAGATCCCCATTTGGGCTAAATATCTTACCAGTGGTTTGGTTGAACCGCTCCATTGCTATTCCAATATTGCCTTGAAAGGACTGTTGAGCTCCTCGTCTGATGTCTGTGATTCTGCTCTCATCTCTAACTCCTTCCATCCAGGTCTGCTTCAGGACATTCTTCTCTGAAACGCTGTCATAGTAATCAATTTGCTCTCCATCCACAACACCCACTGCAACGAATCTGGGGAACCGTTCAATGCCAGTGGATGCTGTGTAGAAGTACTGCAGACTGTGGGTCACTGCAAGACAGAATTTAAAAACAGTGGTTTTGATGAACCCATTTGAGTTCATGATTTTTTTTTTTTTTTTTAATTCGAATGATCTTTTAACCTTCAGCCTCTGATTAACTGATGATTTAGGTCTTTTTCAAATGTTTTTGCAATATAGCATTTTTTTGTCCATGTCAGAAAAAAAAAAATCCTCCATCTTGCTGCGAAAAATGTTTAATAATAATAATAATAATTGGATTTGTCTTAGTTTGTGGATGGGGTTAGTGGGGTCTTTGTTTTTCTTCCGTTGCATACTTGTACAGTCAAGCCCATAATTATTCATACCCCTGGCAAATTTTGACTTAAAGTTACTTTTATTCAACCAGCAAGTTTTTTTAACAGAAATGACACAGGTGTCTCCCAAAAGATAATAAGACGATGTAAAGAGGTATCATTGTGGAAAAAAATATTTCTCAGCTTTTATTTATATTTTAGCAAAAAGTATCATGTCCAGAATTATTCATACCCTTCTCAATAATCAATAGAAAAGCCTTTATTGGCTATTACAGCAATCAAATGCTTCCTATAATTTGTTTGCCATTTATTGTGATTAGGTTCCCTGGTGCACTGGCTGAAAAACACCCCCAAAGCATTAGGTTCCCACCACCATGTTTGACAGTGGGGATGGTGTTCTTTGGGTTGAAGGCTTCTCCTTTTTTTACGCCAAATGAAGGCAACGTCATTGTGACCAAACAATTCAATTTTTGTTTCATCTGACCATAACACTGAAGACCAGAAATCTTCTTCTTTGTCCAAATGAGCATTTGCAAAGGCCAAGCAACCTTTTGTGTGCCTCATCTGGAGAAGTGGCGTCCTCCTTGGTCTGCGTCCATGGAACCCAGCAGTGTTTAGTGTCCATTGGACTGTCTGCCTTGAGACATTGCCACCAGCAGAGCCCAGATTAGCCAGGATGGGCTTGGTGGTGATCCTTGTATTCTTTTTCACCTCTCTCATTTTCCTCCTGGCCAGCACAGGTGTCACTTTTGGCTTCCAACCATGTCCTCTGAGATTTTCCACAGTGCGGAACATCTTGTATTTTTTAATTATACTTTGCACTGTAGCCACTGGAACTTGAAAAAATTTATATATGGCCTTGTAGCGCTTTCCTGACTTGTGAGCAGCCACAATGCGCAGCCACAGGTCCTCACTGAGTTTCTTTGTCTTTTCACAAACCACCAGCTGATTAAAACAGCTGTTCCCAATTAATCAGTGTAATTAGGATGCTTTAGAACAGCTTGGACTATTTGTAATGGTATAGAACTTTGGATTTTTCCAGAGACTGTGACAGTTTGTGAAGGGTATGAATAATTCTGGACATGATACTTTTTGCTCAAATGTACAAATGTAGAAGCTGAGAAATATTTTTTTCCACAATGATGCCTCTTGTACATCATTTTATTATCTTTTTGGAGACACCTGTGTCATTTCTGTTAAAAAAGAACTTGCTGGTTGAATAAAAGTAACTTTAAGTCACAATTTGCTAGGGGTATGAATAATTATGGGCTTGACTGTATGTTTTTTCTGTGTGCGTGTGATTTCTCAAGTAAAAGTGCTCTAAGCACTCGGTGGCCACCTTAGCAACTGACTTTATGGTAGGGGTGGGTTTTTATAATCGATTTATCGATTAAAATCGATTCTGGATTGGATAACGTGAAATCGATTCATTAAAATCCTGAATCAATTTTTTTAATATAAATTTATTTTTCCTGAAATGCCAGAATCTCTGGTGAAACGTCACAAAATTTCAACAACCACCAAACAGCTAAGACAGTAAATGAGAGCAGGAACACGGATTCTGCACAAAGACGTAAACAGACAGCGCGGACCCGCGGATCAGAATCAGTGAAATGTCGCCTTTCTCACCCTACGGCACGGACACGGTTGGGGCTGAAAGCCGACAGCTCGCTGACTCTGATGTTTCGGCGGGTCCGCGCTTTGTGTTTACGCCCCTTTTTGCGCTGATTCTAAAGCTGTTAGTTTGATGTCTCTCCAAACAATATTGACCGAACCAGCAGCAAAAGAAGATCCAAACTACGCTTCACATAAACATCGTCATGAATTCACTCTTATTTTTGCTGTTTTGCTTCCACCAGGATAAAATCACACTTCATACACAGCTCTCTCTCTCTGTACTTCAAGAACAGTTTCCCGTCTAAAAATCTGTTTTCTTCATTATTCGCTTGCTTGTTACGCACAAGACTGCAGTTGTTTACAGGCTGTCGGCCGCTGTTTTATTTTCCTTTTACATTCTTCCGAAAAGAAAACCTAATTTCTGCTGTTCAATACTGAACAAATTTAAACTTTTTAAAATTATGCAAAATGCAAAACGCTTAGCCGTGTCTCTAATAAAACCGCTGTAACGTCAGAGGTAATGTTCATCCATCCATCCGCTTCCACTTATCCTTTTCAGGGTCGCGGGGGGGGGGGGGGGGGGGGGGCGCTGGGGCCTATCCCAGCTGTCATAGGGCGAGAGGCAGGGTACACCCTGGACAGGTCGCCGGTCTGTCGCAGGGCTAACACACAAGGACAGACAACCATTCACACTCACATTCATTCGCACATTCACACCTAGTGACAATTTGGATTATCCAATCAACCTATCCCCACAAAGCTGCATGTCTTTGGACGGTGGGAGGAAGCCGGAGTACCCGGAGAGAACCCACGCAAACACGGGGAGAACATGCAAACTCCACACAGAAAGACCCCGGCCTGATGTTGGAATTGAACTCAGGACCTTCTTGCTGTGCGGCAACAGTGCTAACCACCGTGCTGGTAATGTTCATATGTTGATTAATGGTTTTCTTTCGTTTTTGATGTACTGCAGAATATTTTTATAAAATCCCAGGCCAGGAAAATCACCTTCATGTTTTTCTGTGTTTTATCATCAGCTACTTTGACACAAAGGCATCTGCTGTGATGCTCACACCTGTGATAAAGTCTTGCGTGTATCAGCTTCCTTTTTATAGATACAAAAATATGTAAATGTACTCAAATGAATTATAATATTTCTGACTGTCAAAATTTCCCAGATTCAAATCAAATGAATTGTGGATCGAATCGATTGGGGACCTTGTGAATCGGAATCGAATCGATTCTAGAAATCAGTGACGATACCCAGCCCTACTTTATGGCTTTGGCTCAGGGAGTAAGGTATGGATTACCACAGCGCCATCAGCTGGCTCCTAGCGAATATACCAAAAATGCTCAGCTACAGTATGCTGTGGTCTTAATGCACACATTGTAATTGTACTGGCAGGTAAATAAACGATACAGTTGTCACCATTTCCCTCAGTCGACTAATCATATTCTTATCTCTTAAATTCCTGTTTAAGGATCACGGTTTTCTGAAGTATTTCCTTTGCGTAGTTTTATATTTGCTGTTTGCACTGTCATCTTATTTTCGTAGCCTACATTTAATTTCATATGCAAATATTTCCGTTGTACTTCTTTAAATAAGAGAAGACAGTTAAATGATATGTTTATAAAGTCAATTAAGTATTTCCTTCTTCATATTCATATTATTATTATTATTACAGCTAAATCTCTGAAAATGAGCTCCAAATAAGAATAAAAAATACTCACCAGCCGCAGCACCGTGTATTTCCAGAAGAACCAAAAGAACCAAGGTCCTCATCCTGATCTTTAACTTTTGACTGACTGAGAAGTAATAGTTCAAATCAACTGTCACTTCACAAAGTTGAGGCGTCCCTCCTGTAAAAATTCCAGAGCTAAACTGAGAAAGGAATCGGAGGATCGTCTAGTATAAGCTTCCCGCTGAGCCAATGGGCATTTAGATTCAGCGCAGCGTCATTTAAAACTAGGCTGAAAGGCTTCTCTTAGGTTACTAACGAAAGTGAAAGTCAGTATGCTAACGTTTTCAGAATTTAAGGGATGAAGAGATGGGATTTGTCTTCTCTCTTTATTGTTCATACATTTAAATATTATCCTAATTTAAGCAGATATGCAGCACAGGTCTTCTATGATTTGTAGTCATTGTAAAACAGTTTGACACGGCGTGAGACAATAGGCTATACTATGGGCTCTTAGTAATTTTCTTTTAATTTATATTTTGTTTTGTATTCCTGAATTTGTATTCCTGATTTCAGTTATTAACCAGTGCTCTTAAAAAAAATCTACAAGTGATATTTATTTGTTGCTCCAGGCAGTAAATGTGGTGAACTGCTCCCCCTCGTGGCCTGTAGTTGCCAGGACGTTACAGGGCCCACAGAAAACTACAAAAATTGTTTTCTACAGTCACTGATCCGGTGCATCATGGTTGACTAGGTAGGAGAGAGCTTTCTTAAAGAGAAATCTGAGGAGTAAGAAGAGATGGGATTTAGAATTCTTTAGTATTGTTTTATGCATGCTGTTGTGACCCAGCTCAAAAGCCGCAACATAAATATGGAGACTAATACCAGAATTTCACAAAGAAGAGCTTTTATTTTGAATTATATAACAAGTTGGCTAAAATATCTGGTACCACAACGATAACACAGACAAAGACTAATGAGCCTGCCTCAGGTATGCCTTTATCCACACCAGAAGTGTGGTCAGTTAGCAACAGCAGAACACTGCAAGGCGCGTAACAATGCTGAACCATACTGTGAGTATTTTAAAAATAAATGGTGAAATAAGTGTGAGTGAAAATGAAGCAGTAAATGGAGTGAGAGAGTAAGCTGAATACAGTTGCTTGTGGTGCTCCCTAATGGCAAGTTAGTGCTCTTTTAACAGATAACACCCAAAGATCATTCTGGGTGGCTTGTTGGGTTTACTGTAATGAAGCTTATGTGTAAGTTCAATAAAGAAGATTTATAGTGTCTGTGTAAACCGATAAATCATGTTCAAGTCCTTCTAAACTCTAATGAGAAAAATAAAAGAAATGGCTTGAGAATTCTGTACATTGCTGTCTAGAAAATAGAAAAGAAAATGATTTACCATAAACATTTGGAGACTTTGGCTCTAGCTCAGGTGGCAAAGCAGGTCAGCCACTAATCAGAAGGTCGGTGGTTCGATCCCAGGCTGCATCCTGGCTGCATGCCAAATATCCTTGGGCAAGATACTAACCACATGTTTGCCTACTGGTGGTGGTCAGAGGGCCCGGTGGCGCCTGTCGGTGCGCCCCAGGGCAGCTGTGGCTACAATGTAGCTGCCATCACCAGTGTGTGAATGTGTGTGTGAATGACTGAATGTAGTGTAAAGCGCTTTGGGGTCCTATGGACTAGAAAAGCGCTATACAAATGCAGGCCATTTACCATTTACTTCACTTCTACAAACCTCCATATTTTGCTAAATTTTTGTTTTAACATTTTGCAAAGCAGGTATTTACTTACTGTCCTATGCCTTTGAAGCATAATCTTTACTTCAGTTAATCTGGTCGTTGATCACTATTTGAATGAAATGGTATCATAGTTTACTAAAAATAAATGTGTTATACAATAATTTCAACTGGAGAAAGGACACAGTGAATTACATGTGAACAGATGGAGGATGGAGCATACACTGGGTCTTGTCCACCGGTCTGGCTTTGTTTAGCCCAACAAACCTCTGAAACTGAAAAGATGGATCTGGTGAAACCCATATATGTATTATTCCACTTGAGCTCCCTGCAATGCAATTCCATCTCTGGGGTACAGGTAAAAGAAAATGTAGAGTAACATTTGTCACAATGATGCATTGTAGCTTTTTTCTAGTACTGTACTTGAAAATAGCCATTCACCGCAACTTTGATTTGTTGGTCACTCTCTGGTACAAATCCCAACAATGCCACTGGAATTCATATTTTTTCTACATTGATATAAAGTTTGCTCTTCAATAGCCTGTGCAAAATATGTAGGCCACATTGTGCCAATGGTTCATAAGGTTTGTCCAACTAGAACCGAAAACTACATATCATAAAAGGCATTCTTCTATTCATCTTTCACTTTCTGATTGAGAGTGAAAGATGGTGACACTAGGTGATAACCATTTCTTACATCCAACTTCAGAAAATGGTAGCACTCAGCAATAGCCCAAATGCTAAATTTATTATTTAGAAAAGAATATCCAGGTACCTTGTATGGTGGTTGAAGTAATGTTTCAGATGTGATTCATGTTAGATGATAAAAAATTAGTTTATATTAATTTTCAAAGTGTTATTGGTCATCATAGTTAATACTTCAGCAGACTGATTATCTACAGACTGTATTCAGATATTAAATAATATAATTAGCCCACTGAAAGTGTTCAGGATAAAAATATTGCCGTTAACTTTAAATTTGTTGAGACATTTAGTGTGATGACATAAAAGATAATCTGGAGGTTAGCAACTCCCAATCACGATAGATTTATTACCTCAAAGTTTGACTGGATCTAAATGAAGAAGACAGGCTGCCCTAACAACCAAAGAAGCAAGTATCCAGGAAATATATTTTTTTCCCCAAATTATTATTTTATTTACTTTATTGTTGCCAAAAACATGTTTCTGTTCATCTGAACATAACGTTTTCAGTGGGAGAATGTTTTGTCAGGGAAAGCACTACATCCAGTTGAACAGAAACAATTTTTTGGGATTTCCCTACCTGGATGATTGAGGATGAATCAAAAATACTTAATGGTTTGTTTTGACAAAATTAAAAAAGGGTTATTCTTTTCTAAGTGGATACATCCCAAATGTGCTTTTCCTAATAAAAACTCTCTGGGCACTATTTATTATTTCAACACACATCTAGGAGCGTGACCATGATAAGGAAAACTTGTCTTGTCATTTAACATGTATATAGTGGCCTGGACATTTCAAGAAAAACATTCAACATTAACACTTCCCCTCATTCACAGTATTGCTGCGCAGTATTGATCCAATACCAATACTAGTGTTGGTATCAATACTATCGATATTTGGATTAATCCGCCCACCAGACCACCTAGTGCCCTGTGGTCTGTAACTCGATGATCCTCTCTCTCTCCATCCCTCTTGCTGCTTCTTTGCACTGAAAAATAACACACAAACATATTGTATTCAACCACAAAATATGATACACATATAATCTTATAATAATTATGATAAGAGCAATTTGGGGATGTGCATTTGATATCTGTATAACACACTGCTTTGTTATATGAAATCATCATCAGTGAATGTAGGGAAAACAGATACTACGTTGGCCGCATAATGTTTTGTTGGCTTTGACAACATGTGGACTGTTACCTGTTTCTGTTTGCTCTGACTGTATTTGCTGTCTTCATCCTGATCTCCCCCTCTTTATCCTCCTCTCAGTTTTTGTGCTGTCATCCAAAAGTTAAATGTAATTGTGAAACAGAATTTACAACATAATAAAAGAGAAACTGATCCATATCAGTTTATAACAATATTAAAACAGAATAAGGTCTGCCACTGCCTAGTTTCTTAAACAGTGGTCTAAGCATATCTGGGACCTTCTAGAAAGAGAGCTCCCTGTTAAATCTGGAATCAAATTTAAAATCCTGCTCCTCAAATACAAGGTATTGAATAATCAGGCCCCATCTTATCTTAATGCAAAGAGTGTGGGCTTCTTGTTGTTCCTAGAGTATTTAAAAGTAGAATGGGAGGGAGAGCCTTCAGTTTTCAGGCCCCTCTTCTGTGGAACCAGCTTCCAGTTTGGATTCAGGAGACAGACACTATCTCTACTTTCAAGATTAGGCTTAAAACTTTACTTTTTGGTAAAGCATATAGTTAGGGCTGGACCAGGTGACCCTGAATCCTCCCTTAGTTGTGCTGCAATAGGTGTAGACTGCTGGTGCGTTTTCATGACTGTTTCTTCCTCACTCAGCTTTTTTTCCCCCACCCAAAATGTGTTTGTACACAACTCTGCATTTAATTATTAGTTATTAATAATCTCTGTCTCTTGTCCACAGCAATTGTGTCCTGTCTTATTCTCCAACCAGTCGTGACAGACTGTGGCAAACGGTTTGAAGTCTCTGTGCCGAATTTCATTTTTTCTTTGTGTTGTTGGCTAAATACTAATAGAAAGATCATCATGTCCTTTTTAGCATAGAGATTTGTGTTGATGTGTGGGACTGTATGCTATAAGCTAATATTGTTAACTGGTAATTATGAGACAATGCTTTTCAGGTCATTTTATGGAGAAATGTGAAAGTAATTTAATGAGTAGTGTAACAATTTGCTTTCTCCAAAGAGTAATTAAATAACATAATGCTTTACTATTAAGAAGTGTTGTATACTGACCATAACCAAGAGGCGGAAATAACTAACAAGGAGCCAATGGAGAGAAGTCAGTATAGGTGAAATCTGCTCTCTCTTTCTAGTCCCTGTCAGTACTCTTGCTACTCTGGCTTTTCAGGGAGTTTAGGACATCCTGATAATAACGAATTACAGAAGTCCCGCCTAGAAGTAATAAATCCATGAATTAATTTTACAATGAGTTATACATTTATTTTTGAAAATGGAACTTGATCTTTATGAACGGTTTCAAGATGATAGCCAGAAAACACTGTTTGTTACAGGTACTGAAAGATGCCTTAGTGATGATGATATAACTAATGTTTTCGAGGCTAATGGTAAAATCTCTAAAGTCATCAGGGTCCCCGATGAGCCACATCAGCCCGAAGGCAGAACACAAACCTGAACAGGCTATCTTAATGATAGACCCTTCCACCTTATGGGAAAGTGGTCAGTTCTGTAGACCCTAAAGTGAAATTTTTACCAAAACCATCAGAGATATTATCGTAGTTTTC